AATGATATAAAGACAAATAAATTGACATTTGAATGAAAAAGCAAGGCCAACAAAGGGTAATTTTAGCTGTTATTTATAGAAGGTAAATATATTATACCATCCTTGTCACATTATTAATTTTTTACATTTAAATTAAGATCTAAGGGAGGTAACAAGGCTAGTAATATACATGTAGTAAATAGACTTTGAATGAGATGTAAGGTAGGTCTTAGGTAACAAGGTTAGTAATTTATGAGATGTAAGGGAGGTAACAATTCAAGTTAGATGTTGTGGTATAAATGTAGACTTCAAGTGAGATGTAAGGTAGGTAACAATGTGAGTAAGATTGAGATGTAAGGGAGGTAACAATTCTAGATAGATGTTGTGTTATGTATGTATTGAAATGTAAATTGTTTTAAAGCCAAAGTTGATAGACATGACAACAATTCCACATGAAACTGCTATTTATTTAACATTGCACCTTACTCATGTATGTTCATTATTGGTTAAACCTTACTCACATATGTTCATTATTGGTAACACCTTACTCACATATGTTCATTATTGGTAACTCCTTACTCACATATGTTCATTATTGGTAACTTATTTAAGTATTTTTCTCTGCGCGTCATTATGGGAACTTTGAAACATCGTCATTTTGGGAACTTTGAAACATCGTCATTTTGGGAACTTTGAAACATCTTCGTGTTTTTAAAATGGAAATGGGTTTATATTCCTTTTGTATTGCCAATCAAATGTACACAGCTTTTCTCCATTGATTGACATGGGTATTTCTGGCAGCCAATCTGGTAGTCAGCTTGGTCTCATTACGTGACTTATCAACAATTACCAAGAATGTGTACATTTTCAAGTCAGAGGAAAGTAGAACATGTATTGTGTTTTACAGTTAAATGACTTGAGAACCTTTATATAGAATGGTTGACTTATTATACTTACTTGCATTCTCCAGTCTATCAATTTTTATACGAGTAAAAAAAAAAGCTGTATATATTAAAAAATTGAATGTATAAGTAAGTTTGATTTTGATTTTTAAACATGCCAGTGATTTTATTCTCATTTAAAATAATTCCCCCCTCCCCCCGTTTTTTGCCCTCCCCCTTTTTTTGCAATCCCCCTTTCCACATTGCACCAATGGTGTGAAATCAACCATTATTTTTAGAGAAAAAAAAACTGTTTTAAATCCCATTTATGAAATTTAAAACGTTGTGTGTCTGTTTAAAATGAATGTTATTTGACTTTCCGATTTGTTTTGACATATTTTAGACTGCTCCGAGGACAATTTGGGTTTATTGTACTGACTTCTCCTGGATTTTTTTTATTCCATACAGGGGACACAATTATTACAGGGGAAACAATTCTTTCAACCAACCGTAGTGTTATTTGAACTCATTGAGAATGTTAAGTTTATGGGACACAAAAGATTTTATGAAAATTCCCTGTGAAAATGTTTTATGGTAAGGATTATTTTTAATGGGACTAAAGGAAAATGATTCCACATTGCCATACTGTAAATGGTATTCCCCAAGGCTTAGCTTTCTCCGTCCATGAACCATCTCTCATTTACGGAAACAAAATTCTGAAAATAATCATCAGTCTAACTCTAATTAAATTTGATATTTCATCCCTTTATTAACCCAAGATCTAACCCTAAAACTAATTAAATATATACTTTAATGTTAGAAGGACTAATAAATAGGTGTCTACTTTTCTGAACCTTACAGAACCTAAAACTAATTAAATATATACTTTAATGTTAAAAAGGACTAATAGGTGTCTACTTTTCTGAACCTTACAATAATAATTTTTTTAAAACTATAGTTTTTCAAATTGTACGGTATGTGCTATGATGAAAAAATATCTCCTTTCTCAGAAAAATTGCTTTTTTTAAACAAATCAAATTTTCAAGGGCAGACTACAATTTAAGTGGTTGATTTAAAATTTGAAAAGGAGAAAAATTGAGAATAGTGGGGGAAATGATGATGAAAATTTAAATTATAAATTGCCCGTGCTTAAAAAAAACAAATATGCAACAAATAAACTTTCACCAAATTCATGAGAGAAACCCTGGCATTTTTCACACTAAGATTCCGATTTATTTATAAATAACCTAAAATTAAAATGATATTTTCTTATTGGATAAAAATGTTGGCCCACTGTACCAACTATTTGATACTGTATGCGTTCTATACAAGTATAAAACTAACATCCTTTGTGTGTTGCAAGTGATTGCCGTGGATACGACGGGGCCCTGTAAGTAACCAGATCAGCATTTCATCAGCCATTGTTTTGTGGCTGTACGGCAGTTCATTATTTGCGTGTCTTGGTTAAAATGTTGATGATTTTTTTTTAAAAATCTATTTGTCTCAAAACCCATGGTGTTCTTTTGTTGTGGGTGTAAAGCTTACATTTTAATATGCTTGTTGAAATATCTTTCATATGTTAGCTCATGCCATGCAAGAAATCTATAGTGAAAAATCTAAATCTGTATTGAAACTTACTGGTTAATCTTGCCTCTTTCATTGTCACGATTGTTCAAAATAAGGGACTTGACAAGTGAACAAGTTTACAGAAAGATGATAAATTGTTTCAGTTAAAGTTGATTATCATCCATTTTGTGAATCCTCTAAATCATGCTCTGGAATAGTTTATAAATTTTGTGGTGGTTTTTGTGATTGGTGCTGGTAACCAAAGTTGACTTGTCCGTAGAGTTTTTGATCATTAGCTCTCACAGATTATTTTTTAAGGCAAACATTTTGCAGACTTTCTGGCGGGACAATATTTGTTCTTTTTACCCCAAACTGTTGGACTCACGTGGATGGCTTTGAAATCAACCGTTGATCCCACTGGTCACCCTCAGTGGTCATGATGTCATCTGAGTGCAAACTTGGGGTACACAAACTTGTTACTAAGAAATACAGAACCAAATACAAACTTGTTTTGTTGTCACCCCTTCTGGGCACATTCTTTTTGTTGGTTTTTACATCTTTATATGGGGACTGTTACCTTTAGTACTGGTATCTTTTGTTGGTTAATGATGTTTTTCCATCTCTAGTTGGGGACTGTCATTTTTACATCTTTAGACGGGGACTGTTATCTTAAGTTGGGGACTGTCATTTTTACATCTTTAGACGGGGACTGTTATCTTAAGTTGGGGACTGTCATTTTTACATCTTTAGACGGGGACTGTTATCTTAAGTTGGGGACTGTCATTTTTACATCTTTAGATGTTATTCTATTATCTCTAGTTGGGGACTGTCATTTTTACATCTTTAGACGGGGACTGTTATTCTATTATCTCTAGTTGGGGACTGTCATTTTTACATCTTTAGACGGGGACTGTTATTCTATTATCTCTAGTTGGGGACTGTCATTTTTACATCTTTAGACGGGGACTGTTATTCTATTATCTCTAGTTGGGGACTGTCATTTTTACATCTTTAGACGGGGACTGTTATTCTATTATCTTTAGTTGGGGACTGTCATTTTTACATTTTTAGATGGGGACTGTAATCTTAAGTTAGGGACTGTCATTTTTGGGACTATTATTTTTACATCTTAGTTGGGGACTGAAATTTGTTTTGGGAAGAATAAGAAAATTTAATATATTTTATTTTCATCACACAGCACAAAGTTAAGGGCTCTCTTACACTGTTCCCCACAAAAGTTTCTAAATTCCTATAAAAAAAAGTGTTAAAAGTGTTAGCATGTGATAACCCACATTGCTTGTGGCAGCATAGTCTTGTACATTGCCAAAACATCATTTTGAAAATTTTTTGTTTTAAGTCATTTGCACCCCTGCATTATTGATATTGTAATGTTCCATCTCCTCAACACTAAAAATGTAGCACTTTTCATTTAAATCTTTTTCCTTCTCATTTATTCATTGGTTTGATATATAAATAATTTTGACTACATCCATAAAATGGCAGCAACTAAAGATATTTGCCTGCTTAGTTAGAAGCTGTCAGAGTCATAGAGTTAAAGTCTTTTGGCCTGAGGCAGACTTGATAGTTAGAATGCTCATGCTACGAGTTCTTCAAGTTATCAACATTGTATCTGCTGCCACATCATTAGTTAAGAGCAGATACAGAGCACAGGTCTTTTAGGTAAAGATTTTATGCACTGTTGGCCAAGGGAAAACAAAGTATTTTAATTTAAGTGAATTGTGCATCCACATATAAGGGCGAATGGGGTCATTAGCTGCCTTGAAAGTGGAAGGATATAATTAGGTTATTAAAACCATGATCATTCGTTTTTCCAAACACACTGTTTTTTTTTTTTTTTAAAGGCATAGGTGTTTAAATAATTAAATAAGAATTTCAATATTGTTTTCAATTTCAAGAGATTTCAATAACAAAAAAATCATCATTCATGTGATTTGGCAGTTCAAAAATATGAATGGTAAATTTTAAAAATATGGTGAAACAAAACTATTTGATTTTAAATATGAACTATTTGAAGTCAAATTCAATAATTTTTTAAAAAATACATATTGTAAATGTTTTTTTAACTCATGTTTAAAGATAATTTTGTATTAAATACATCTGTGATCTAGAAATCTAATCTACATACTCGTGTAAAGTAACGGATATCTTATTTTGAAAGACAGTCAAGAGGGGATATTTTTTTAATGATAAAACTCCTCTTTTCTAAGAGGGATCTTTGTTCTAAGAGGGATGTTTTCAAACTATAAAACCCCTCTGTTCTATGGATGGGAATGTTATTTTTGGTCATCAATCTATAAGTTTAAAACAATTATCTCAGCACCATAAAAACTGTTTGCAATAAATTCTGGACATTTAACTCTTAGAAAGACTGTTCTTTCCAGGACAGCTTGAGCTTGGACTTGAGTTCTCAGGACTTTGTCATTGTTACATGGGATTGTCATGAGCGTGTTTAATCTTTCATTGAAACTTTACAACATAACTCTGTTATTCTCTTGCCCTTTCCCAGTGGGATAAAATCAAATAAATAAAGCATGAAAAATATCAAAAATTATTCTTGTTTATTTCTTTATATAAAAGTTTTCAAGTGTTAACATGTCTTGTTGATTTCTTTATACAAAAATATTCATGTCACATTTAAGAAATCATGTCTCACTCTAGATATGTGTGACAAAACTTTCTGGTATAAATCTCACCTGAAGAGCAACAGCATGCTCTTCATAAAAACAACATTCTTCTTATAAATCAAAGCTTCCTTTAGAAAACTTACATGGACATGTACACTAAAAATGAATCCATCAACACTAGCATTCTCATTGTACAAGTAAGTTGCACTAACTTACCCAAAGTCTAAAAATATATGAACAGATCATTAGTCCTCTTGGAAAAAAAAACTTTGTAGTTAACACTTTCCTCCAAATGCAAGATTTTACAAAGTTGTATATATCAACAATAAACTCTTATAAATTTTCAGATTGTAACGGTAATAAAACCTCAATTAATTTAAAGGTAGTGTGTCCAGTCTCTCTCATTTTTTAAAAAATTACTGATTAATGAGTTTTGGGCAACGAGATTCATCAGAATATAAATACAGTTGAAGCCCAATTTTTTTAACAAATATAAAATAGAATCTCTTTCTCATTGATCATTCATTTTTGTATCTACCACCCATGCATCCTTCCCTTTGAACCAAAAAAAAATTCATCACCAGACAAATTTGAGCATGTTTAAGCTGGTGTCCACAAGTTCAGAACTGTAGCGCAGTACCCTGCTGCTCCTCATGGTCCAGTTCAGCCTGACATTGGGCCATCATGCCTGTGACCTGTTTGTACAAATAGTGGCTGTCCCCCAGTGACACTGTAAAGTTATCTAAAGCCTACAGGAAAGATGTAACAAATATAAATAGTGGGTTTCCCCCAGAGACAATTTGAAGTTATCTAATGCCTACATGAAACAGATAAAACAGATATAAATAGTTTCTCCCCCCCCCCCGTGACAATGTGAAAAAAATAGTTTCTCCCCCCCCCCCCGTGACAATGTGAAGTTATCTAATATCAAATTACTATCCCCTGCATTTAAAACTAAGAATTTATCTCTTTGTTTGACCCTTACCTACCTTCCTTAGGTGAATCATGGCTTCATTCAGCCTCCCAAACAACATGAGGAGTTTGCCCATGTTAGCCAGCAGGTAGCCAACACATGGATTGAAAGGTGGGTGCATGAGGCTGGGATAAAATACAATTATGTTCATGTTACCCAGGGTCGCACTCCAAAACAAAATATTTTGTTAATGAAAATGACATCAAGATTCTAAGACATTCTCAGGCAAAAGAATCATAACAAAGATCTCATCTCCTGAAAATGTAACCGCTGCAACTAATCATGTCACAGATGAGATATCAGATGACCACAGTAGAGGATTGTGATTTTTACCATCAGGCAAAATATTTAATTGTTAGTTAAAAGGAAACGACACACAGATTATAACTATAACAAAACAATTCTTTTTTTTATTTATTTCCTCAGCATTTGTTTTCAAGCTCATTAAAGTGTATTTGACCAGATGTTCTTCATCTTCAGTACTGGCCAACGCAAGTAACAGTTCAGAAATGGAACAGAATTTCTTATATATACATAGATAAAGCAAGTGGTAATAAATGCAGGGAGATATTGTTAAAATTAAGTAGCTGTAGTTGCACATTTCAATTATTCTTAAGAGCATGGCCTTATACTTATAAAAAAAAATATTTTAGCCTTGAGCATTGACATGAAAGGATTAATATTGGAAGAGGTAGCCCAAAGCCTTACATGGGCTGCAGCGCCACAGAGATGGATGATAAATATTCGAATCCATTCCAAGATTCAGGTAGATTTGAAACTGAATTTAAATGTCAACTCACGAATATGCTTTGTAGTTCTTAATGCCCCACATCAATGCGTTCTCCCACTGCTCAGAGTCGATGGCAGCATCGAATGCCTTCCCGACGAGCCTGACCAGGTACACATTGCCAAATGGCAGCTTGGTCTCATTCAGGCATTTCTCACACACGTCAAGGATATCTTTGGGACTGGCTGGAGTTGTCAGAGAATAAGGAACAGAACATCATACACCAAGAGTACAAAAAAGGAAATATTTAAATAATAATAGCTATACAGTCATCAGACATAGCTATACAGTCTTCAGACATAGCTATACAGTCATCAGACATAGCTATACAGTCATCAGACTGCAGACTTTAGAGAACCTCTGAAGTTATCTTTTTCTGTTGATCTGGCATATTTTGGTTGCACTAACACATTAAAAACAAGCAGACCTTCATTTTGGGAATAACATCAGTTACATTCGTTATAACAGTAAAACTAACCTTTGTCTTTCCTCATGGCCTCCACCTTATCTATGCATTCTTTCACTCTGGTTAAGTCCCCTGGAGAGAGTCATATGAATCAGGTCAAAGTTGACATAAAATAAAAATGATGTGTTAGAAGTTATTCATTTCTTTTTTTTTTTTTATAATATTAAGTTTCAACTGCATTCTAAACTATTAATTTTTATCTATTTTGAAAATTATTGAACGATTCTACGACTCAAAGGGTAAGAAAAGCCAGAGATTTTAGGAAAAGAATTTAAAATTATAACAATGAATTTTTAACAAGTATGTAAGAAAGAGTGCAATAAGGTTTTTGCAAAAAAACTAGACGAGAAAATTAAAAATTAAACATTTCAAAATTCTCTGCATAAATGAATGCTCAAGACTTATGAGTTTCACTAAAAAAAATGCTATGAAACCTAAACAAAAATGGTATTCTTGTTATACAGCATACAATTGAAATCAACACAGAACAGCTTACCTTCATTGCTTCCTTCTATTGAGCACATTTTTTCATCCTGCAATTGAACATTATTCTAATAAGCTCTGAACTCAATTTTTAACTCAACATGTTTTAGCAACATATTTTAAGCAAAGCTTTTCAACATTATTTTTATTTCTAACCTCAAGATGGGGAAAAAAACAATGATTTTAAAAACTTTATTCATTTTTACAATGCCAAAATATAATTAAGAAATTAGCTGCACAATTAAGAGTTAGTGCCAACCTGGGCAGAACATGATTTTTGACCAGTTCGATTTTGTATTGAAAAATTTGAAAAATGCTTATTATTTTTATTTTTTCTCTTGAAAACAATATAAAATGTAGTTCTTTTAAAAATCTTTGTAACTATGAATCAAATTGTCTGTTTTTTTATTTTAAAATGTGATCATAAACTAATGAATAAAGAGAATACCAAAAAAAATTATGAACAGTAATTTAGAAGACAAAATATAATTAATCCTATTATGATTGTACCAACAACACAAAAAAAGATTCAACATTCATGTTAAGCATTGCCAGATTATTGACTGAATGGTAAATGACTTTACTATAGATTTAGAAATGCACTTACAGCCTCCTTGTTCTGGCACCTGCCACATTCACAGGTAAAGTAATACTGCTGCTGTAGCTGCGCCTGTCTCTCCGCTATTGTAGCCACCGGGTCCACGTAGCTGAGGAACACCTGCGAATCAAAGATGTGAAATAAAAATCAGTCAATCAAACAACTTAAAAAATCATAGTTGGTTGTATAATGAAGCAATCAAATCAGAAAGTGCGCTGCTTTCGTTGGACATTCTAGTATTGGGGTGCCAAGCGGTAAAATTAAGATACACTAATCAGATCCTGTCTACAGGAATAGTTAACAAACAAATATATGTGTTTATATATGCAACTGGATTTGATTCATTTAGTATACTTTTAAATGAAGTATCATTTGCATGCATGCAGTCCATTTATTATAGAGCTGAGCTTAGGGATAAGTCATAACTCATATCAATTATTTAATGGCAATTGCTTATGTATTAGAAATGACTAGATATCATGAAGGAATTTCAAATTTGGTCATTTTGAATTTTAATCAATGTTGTTTTGTTGTTTTTTTTTTTTTTTTTTTGGTATTTTTTTTTTGATTCATATGAATAAATACTTTGTCCTTTTCCCATGTTTTGGGGCAAATAATCCCTTGGCAAAATTTGGGACAGAGAAATAACACACCATNATGGGCTGTGAAGAAGTTAACAGAGATGAAATCAATGGGCTGTGAAGAAGTTAACAGAGATGAAATCAATGGGCTGTGAAGAAGTTAACAGAGATGAAATCAATGGGCTGTGAAGAAGTTAACAGAGATGAAATCAATGGGCTGTGAAGAAGTTAACAGAGATGAAATCAATGGGCTGTGAAGAAGTTAACAGAGATGAAATCAATGGGCTGTGAAGAAGTTAACAGAGATGAAATCAATGGGCTGTGAAGAAGTTTAACAAATGTAAGAAAACAAAGTGACTTACATCAGACAGTGAATCACTATGTATGGCATCAACTGCTCTCACTCTGATTTTTATACCATCAAACGACGCCACGGCATTACCCCAACAGCGATGATCCAATATGGAAGGACTGTTGTCATTAAAAAAAAAAAACATGTTTGAATTAACAAGTTTTAAGAACCACAAGAAACAAAATTAGTATGGCAACGATGCATACAATTTTAAGAATTGTGGGTTTTTTTCATACAAGGATATTATGGCCAAAAAAAAAAGTAATTTACAATAGATTTTCCATCAATTCTTAAGTTTTGACAAGTTTTCTTATGAAATTTTTCTAATGCTGATACCTTGTATAGACAGCCACACCAACATCCTGCAGTAATTCATCAGCTATTGTGAAAGTGTTGATGACCATCTGCAATCAATGGAAACATTTATCTTTAATTCATATTAGGAGGTTGTTGGTGTGAAATATTCCTAATCAATAGTCAACTCATCCATGGGTTTTTTAACGTTAAACAGTGCAGAGACAATTCCAGGCAATATTACTACTTTTCAAATCTTACCACTTTTCAAACTGTGCCTACCAGTTCAATTTTTATAACCCTATTGAAACAGGCTGTGCTGACCAGTGCAGTAGGTCATGATAGGTATTTAAATATTTACAAACCTATCGGAACAGGCTGTGCTGACCAGTGCAGTAGGTCATAATAGGTATTTCAATATTTAAAACCCTATTGAAACACACTGTGCTGACCAGTGCAGTTCATGATAAAGAGGTTCAATATTTACAACCCTATTGAAACAAGCTCTGCTGACAAGTGCAGCAGGTCATGATAGGACAGTTATATATTTACAACCATATTGAAACAGGCCGTACTGAACAGTACAGTAGGTCATGATAAGGTAGTTCTCTATTTGAGACCCTATTGAAACAGGCTGTGTTGACCAGTGCAGTAGGTCATGATAAGAGGCGGGTAGGCCAGTTCTATATTTACAAACCTATTGAAAATTGAAACAGGCTGTGCTGACCAGTGCAGTAGGTCATGATAGGTAGTTCAATATTTAAAACCCTAATGAAACAAGCTGTGCTGACCAGGCAGTAGTAGCGCCCAGCAGATGAGGCGCGCCGCAAAAATCGTGACCGGGGTCCTAAGAGATTGAATCTCGACCCCCTAGAGTATTGAACTTAATTAGTAGGTCATGATAGGCCAGTTCTATATTTACAACGCTATTGATACCTTTCCAAAGATCTCAAGCAGCACATCATCATTTGGAACCTGCAAGATGCCATGGGTGTAACCTCGCACAAAGTCAGCAGCTACTCGAAACAATCCTGACCTTGTTGGGTCATTTTTTATTCTCTCTGAATCTGAATAAAAAATCAATAAAGGGAAATCATATTAACTAAATAAATGCATTGAGGTGATGAGTTAATAATGAGGTGATGAGTTAATATTGAGGTGATGAGTTCATATTGAGGTGATGAGTTCATATTGAGGTGATGAGTTAATATTGAGGTGATGAGTTAATATTGAGGTGATGAGTTCATATTGAGGTGATGAGTTAATATTGAGGTGATGAGTTAATATTGAGGTGATGAGTTAATATTGAGGTGATGAGTTCATATTGAGGTGATGAGTTCATATTGAGGTGATGAGTTAATATTGAGGTGATGAGTTCATATGATGCAAATGATTACCTTTAACAGACAAAAATAGTTGTCATAATAATGCATATCTTTTTTGATTATTGAAACTTTCCAACATCATGATTATTCATAATTCAATGCAACTTATGATGAAAGGTTTAATAGAAAACATACAGACTAATGAATGCTATCTTTACAGGTAGAACATGTCCAATAATGAAATATGCAGATGACTTTACCATGAACATTTTAAATAAAATTGCATCAAAGCAGTAGATGAAATCAGAAGATAAGAGAATGACACTCCTGTGATGTAGCAGGTCAGATGAGAGAATGACACTCCTGTGATGTAGCAGGTCTGATGAGAGAATGACACTCCTGTGATGTAGCAGCTCTGATAAGAGAATGTCACTCCTGTGATGCAGCAGGTCTGATGAGAGAATGACACTCCTGTGATGTAGCAGGTCCGATAAGAGAATGACACTCCTGTAATGTAGCATCTCTGATAAGAGAATGACACTCCTGTGATGTAGCAGGTCTGATAAGAGAATGACACTCCTGTGATGTAGCAGGTCTGATAAGAGAATGACACTCCTGTGATGGAGCAGGTCTGATAAGAGAATGACACACCTGTGATGGAGCAGGTCTGATAAGAGAATGACAGTCCTGTGATTGAGCAGGTCTGATAAGAGAATGTCACTCCTGTGATGTAGCAGGTCTGATAAGAGAATGACAGTCCTGTAATTGAGGAGGTCTGATAAGAGAATGTCACTCCTGTGATGTAGCAGGTCTGATAAGAGAATGTCACTCCTGTTATGGAGCAGGTCTGATAAGAGAATGGCACTCCTGTGATGGAGCAGGTCTGATAAGAGAATGTCACTCTTGTGATGTAGCAGGTCTGATAAGAGAATGGCACTCCTGTGATGGAGCAGGTCTGATAAGAGAATGGCACACCTGTGATGGAGCAGGTCTGATAAGAGAATGACACTCCTGTGATGTAGTAGGTCTGATAAGAGAATGTCACTCCTGTGATGTAGCAGGTCTGATAAGAGAATGTCACTCCTGTGATGTAGCAGGTCTGATAAGAGAATGACACTCCTGTGATGTATCAGGTCTGATAAGAGAATGTCACTCCTGTAATGTAGCAGGTCTGATAAGAGAATGACACTCCTGTGATGTAGCAGGTCTAATAAGAGAATGTCACTCCTGTGATGTAGCAGGTCTGATAAGAGAATGACACTCCTGTGATGGAGCAGGTCTGATAAGAGAATGTCACTCCTGTGATGTAGCAGGTCTGATAAGAGAATGTCACTCCTGTGATGTAGCAGGTCTGATAAGAGAATGACACTCCTGTGATGTAGCAGGTCTGATAAGAGAATGTCACTCCTGTGATGTAGCAGGTCTGATAAGAGAATGACACTCCTGTGATGTAGCAGGTCTGATAAGAGAATGTCACTCCTGTGATGTAGCAGGTCTGATAAGAGAATGACACTCCTGTGATGTAGCAGGTCTGATAAGAGAATGTCACTCCTGTGATGTAGCAGGTCTGATAAGAGAATGACACTCCTGTGATGTAGCAGGTCTGATAAGAGAATGTCACTCCTGTGATGTAGCAGGTCTGATAAGAGAATGACACTCCTGTGATGTAGCAGGTCTGATAAGAGAATGTCACTCCTGTGATGTAGCAGGTCTGATAAGAGAATGACACTCCTGTGATGTAGCAGGTCTGATAAGAGAATGTCACTCCTGTGATGTAGCAGGTCTGATAAGAGAATGACACTCCTGTGATGTAGCAGGTCTGATAAGAGAATGTCACTCCTGTGATGTAGCAGGTCTGATAAGAGAATGACACTCCTGTGATGTAGCAGGTCTGATAAGAGAATGTCACTCCTGTGATGTAGCAGGTCTGATAAGAGAATGACACTCCTGTGATGTAGCAGGTCTGATAAGAGAATGTCACTCCTGTAATGTAGCAGGTCTGATAAGAGAATGACACTCCTGTGATGTAGCAGGTCTGATAAGAGAATGTCACTCCTGTGATGTAGCAGGTCTGATAAGAGAATGACACTCCTGTGATGTAGCAGGTCTGATAAGAGAATGACACTCCTGTGATGGAGCAGGTCTGATAAGAGAATGACACACCTGTGATGTAGCAGGTCTGATAAGAGAATGACAGTCCTGTGATTGAGCAGGTCTGATAAGAGAATGACACTCCTGTGATGTAGCAGGTCTGATAAGAGAATGACAGTCCTGTAATTGAGGAGGTCTGATAAGAGAATGTCACTCCTGTGATGTAGCAGGTCTGATAAGAGAATGTCACTCCTGTGATGGAGCAGGTCTGATAAGAGAATGGCACTCCTGTGATGGAGCAGGTCTGATAAGAGAATGACACTCCTGTGATGTAGCAGGTCTGATAAGAGAATGGCACTCCTGTGATGTAGCAGGTCTGATAAGAGAATGACACTCCTGTGATGGAGCAGGTCTGATAAGAGAATGACACTCCTGTGATGGAGCAGGTCTAATAAGAGAATGTCACTCCTGTAATGTAGCAGGTCTGATAAGAGAATGACACTCATGTGATGGAGCAGGTCTGATAAGAGAATGTCACTCCTGTGATGTAGCAGGTCTGATAAGAGAATGTCACTCCTGTGATGTAGCAAGTCTGATAAGAGAATGACACTCCTGTGATGTATCAGGTCTGATAAGAGAATGTCACTCCTGTAATGTAGCAGGTCTGATAAGAGAATGACACTCCTGTGATGTAGCAGGTCTAATAAGAGAATGACACTTCTGTGATGTAGCAGGTCTGATAAGAGAATGACACTCCTGTGATGAAGCAGGTCTGATAAGAGAATGGCACTCCTGTGATGGAGCAGGTCTGATAAGAGAATGACACTCATGTGATGTAGCATGTCTGATAAGAGAATGACACTCCTGTGATGGAGCATGTCTGATAAGAGAATGACACTCATGTGATGTAGCAGGTGACTAACCTCTAAGACAGGGAATTCGTCTAACTAAAACCTTGTACTGGTAACTGTTTAAGTTGTTACTGTTTAAGGAAGGTCTAAAACAAATGCATTAGATTCCAGTGCAAGTGGATCAAAAGAACTAATCAGGGATTATGAAATAAATTACAACATTGAACATTTCAATGCAATCAGTACCATTTGTTCCAGTATTTAAGTAAGAATGTTTCTCTTGTTCAATGGACAATCAGATATTTCAAGCTGACTTAGTTCAAGTTTTTTATACATAATTGAAGGACCACTTTAATTGGGTTTAAAAAACCTGCAGTGTTCCAAAGAAACGGAATCTACTGTATGCAATAAAGAACTTACGAGACATCAAATCAGTAAAACTGCGCAAACAAGGAGATTCATCTTTCGGATGCTTTTCACTAGCGGCACCAGCCTAAGGATGAAACCAAAAGTACAAATTAATGAAATGTTGTTACGCTATGCTTACAAGACCAGTTTGATGGCTTTGTCAGTCAAACACAGAACAAGTGGATTCATATTGAAACCAGTGTCTGCACCAGGTCTGGCCCGCCTCTGCAATACACATGCCAAGGGCAGTGAAATGTTAAAGGAGACATCATAAGTTTAATAAAAATTTAAGTTAACTTAAACAAAATTAACAAAGTGTAGCTGATGTACTGAATTAAATGAGTGCAAAATATGATGCAATGCAAAAATGATGTGATATATCAACATACAAATGAACAAAAGAGCAAAATGGATCACATGTCTCTTCTCAGTTATAAAAACCACATTTAACCTTTTCGTTACCGCTGACGTCGACAGGACGTCACGATCACCCACTTTCATTTACCACAAGGACGTCACATTGTCGTCATAACAAAGAGGCAAAGAACTTTTCTGAGATACCAAGGACGTCACGTCGACGTCATATTTCAATGCTATATATTTCTTTATTCGTTAATTTATAGAGAAGTTAATAAGCGAATCCGAAAGAAAATGAAAATATACCGAAAGTTTCATCTCAAGTTTTTTAATTGCTGAGTCAGCAAAAATCGAAGCCCAAAACCAGCAGTAATGGAACGGTTAAAGTAAAGAAGATCATGTTTCTCAGTTACCAGATAACGAATTATGAGCCTGAGGTAGAGACGGATACTGTCAGTTGGAGTGTCTGGGACTCGTTTCATAACTTTGCATTCAGTTTTATGAATCCTCCAGTCTGCTTTCTGAAAAGTAGAGCACCATTTTATCTGTGTTTGGAAATACTTTAGTTTTAAGATGGTTAATGTCCTTTTACAAAATTTAACAAGAGCAGAATCAAACCCAAGGCTTCCCGGAAAAATAAGAAATTATGAAAATAGTTCAGACGTTCAGCCAAGTGTCTTATTTTTTTAAGATAAATGATAAACAAATATTTTAGGGCAGCAAATAATTTTAGAAGTAAGAAAGAACAGTTAAATTACCTGGCACGCCACACCGCAATACATCAGTTTTTTGCAAGCACCACACTTCAGGAGTTTTTCTTCCACACTTGTAGAAAAACATTATACCGGAATAAGAAAATATGCAACAATAAGATTCAAACAAATATGATGAATATCGGTACCGGGTATTTATAAAATTAGTAGTGGTCCACACAAGATTGTGTCAGTTTGATTATAGATTAGTAAAAATAACTACTGTTGAAGTGATCCATTGACTATTATAAAAGATTAGTAAGTAAAGCTACGGTTGAAAAGATTCATTTACCTATTACAATATATTAGTGAGTAAAACTAGTGTTGAAGAGATTCGTTTACTATTATAAAAGATAAGTAAGTAAAACTACTGTGGAAGAGATTCATATACTATTATAATAATAATAGATTAGTAAGTACAACTACTAGTGAAGAGATTCATTTACTATCATAGTATTTATTTCTTGGAGATACCTCAGACCACAACTTTTTGGACGTGTAAAGTAAATTTAATTGGTTGAAATAGTTATTTACTTGTACAATCTCAATCATTCAAGATTATGTGTTCAAATAGTTGATTTATAGGGATAATAGGTCTAATACTCCATCCATATAAAATTCATATAGTTGAATTATGTGGATATAAGGTCTAATACTCCATCCATATAATATTCATATAGTTGAATTATGTGGATATAAGGTCTAATACTCCATCCATATAATATTCATATAGTTGAATTATGTGGATATAAGGTCTAATACTCCATCCATATGATACCAGAGTTCAAGAACAAGGCTGTTGAAAAAAATTTATTGACAATCATATTTAAATAAATCATCTTTGAAGAAATTCATTACCATGCATAGATATGTATGCAAAGTGAAAGAACTATATTGGTCAAAATGGTCTGAACCAGGTGTTAGCATCCTACAACTATAGCCTAGCCCTTGGTCAAAATGGTCTGAACCAGGTGTTAGGATCCTAAAACTATATCCTAACCATTGGTCAAAAAGGTCTGAACCAGGTGTTGGGATGCTACAACTATATCCTAACCATTGGTCAAAAAGGTCTGAACCAGGTGTTAGGATCCTACAACTATATCCTAACCATTGGTCAAAATGGTCTGAACCAGGTGTTGGGATGCTGACACTAAAAGAAAAAGATTGTTATAAATAGTTAAGCAGTCAAGCATCTACATAAATCTGTTACAATTGTGTATGTCTTTTAATGTGCTTTGATTCTAGACTTATTTAAACATCAACGTAACAGCAGAAATGAGATATTTACATTATATCTCATTACAGTAAACTGCTATCATCACTTCAAACACTCCAGTGCTTATCAAATGCTTTAGGAATGTCCATCAGTTTTAAAAGGAAGGTTGTGAATGTTATCTGTCTGTCATTAATTGATTAGATTTTACAAACTACAGATAGACATTGAATACTTTTATAGCGTTTGTATCCATTCTATTTTAGCATGATCACATATCTCATTTCTAAGAAAAATAAATTTATAAATACTTTTTTGTATTTCACTTGTAACTGGCTTGTGATAGTTCAGAGTTGTGTGCAATATTAATTAAATTTTGATTAATCTGAATGTTGAGGCCATTTTTAAATTGTGTTTTGTTAAAATCCCATGCATTTTTTTAAATGGAGAAGCCATTAGGTTCAATGTTTCATTACACTTGTTTTTATTTTCACTTTACAAACTTTTCTTTGATTTTAATCGACAAGTAATCTGTGAGGCGCTAAGTATAAAAAGGAATGAACTAATTTTATTTCCAACAGGTTGCAGCATATCATTTGGCATAATGATAATATTGCTAGCATTTAAGATTATTGCCTTGAGAGAATAATTTTATTACGAAACGCTCCCATCCCCATTTTTTAAATTTAATATAATTTAATATAAAACAAATCCTTTATCAAATTATTCAAATCCAAGAAAACTGAAAGATGAATAAAAAGTAAAAATGATTTTTTTTTTTTTACACCTACTGAAATTATAGGAATGAATAATAAATTCAATACAATGTTTATGTTGTATCTACCAAATAAAATAAGGCTCCAGTTGAAAGCCTCACGGAAAATAATTAGGCACCTGGAAATTTTTTACAATTAATTTCCTATGGAGATATTTAATTTATGGTAGGAATAATGAATGATTGTGTTATCGGCCTGTATCTTGTAGTTTTATTTTTTAGTATGTTTTAATAGATTTAGGAGAATATCTACATAATTGCTTTTTGTTTTTTTAATTTCTAAGGTAAAATGAGATCAACTGAAAGTGAAAGTAACTTCAAACAAGAGAAAGTAACTGCAAACAAGAGAAAGTAACTGCAAAAAAGAGAAAGTAACTGCAACAATTTAGCTTTAAAAAAAAACACCTTAGATTGCGTAATCAATAAAGTACACATCTGAACCTATTCCAACTTGGAAGATTCATAACTATTGACCAATGTGTGTCTAGTATGTAGCAAACATGCTATTAATAAACTCAACTTCTAAATAATCATAATGTGTGACATTTTGAACCTTCTTGGTAACATTGTTAATTTTTCTAGGTCTTGTGTTTAAATTGTTTTAGTTTAAAAATGTTGTCTTGTGTTTAAATTGTTTTAGTTTAAAAATGTTGTCTTGTGTTTAAATTGTTTTAGTTTAAAAATGTTGTCTTGTGTTTAAATTGTTTTAGTTTAAAAATGTTGTCTTGTGTTTAAATTGTTTTAGTTTAAAAATGTTGTCTTGTGTTTAAATTGTTTTAGTTTAAAAATGTTGTCTTGTGTTTAAATTGTTTTAGTTTAAAAATGTTGTCTTGTGTTTAAATTGTTTTAGTTTAAAAATGTTGTCTTGTGTTTAAATTGTTTTAGTTTAAAAATGTTGTCTTGTGTTTAAATTGTTTTAGTTTAAAAATGTTGTCTTGGTAAGAATATTTATCTATGTGCTGAAAATTAATTTGTACATTGTAATCAAAAAATTATTTCCATTTACATGGATCAATGAAAGAATCTTATCTTATCCCATTATTGGTAGGCTCAGAGGGTAGCAGCCCACTTAATGGCTTAGGAAAGTTATGAAAAACGCTCCAGGTGTGCTCCCAACAAAAAGTAATGTGTGTGAATTCCCATGCCGCAATCTCATTCATAATTTTCTTATGCTCAACCAAATTTTATTAATAAAAATGTAATGAATCAATATGATGACTATTCATCAAGTTGTCTAGGTCAAACTGCCAGTAACACAGAAATAGAAACAATCTCCATATTATATGTCTCTCAGATTCTAGGCTGGGGTAATGAAGGTTATGAGCTAAAATACGACACTGTCACACAGTAAACAAACAACCTGGGTTGGCAACAGTCTGTAAATTCACTGACAATCCTTAAAATTTGACCTAAAATAGCCTGTCTGTTGAAGTCAGTGGAAACTTTAAGAGGTCCTTACAAAAAAAAAAAGACTGTTCAAATGTTTTTTAAAATAAACAAAACAGGACATCTCAAATATACCCGGTAGGGATTTTCTCTTGCTTGTTTTAAAGATGTATGATCACAATAAGGAGAAATACAATACTGATGAGAATGATATACAATAAAATAATGTTTAATTACAATGTCAAGATGACAATAACTGACACACACATATTCAATTCATTAAACAGTAATGGTAAGGAGTTTGAATTTTTGTAAGCTTCGTTAGCTTATTTTTTAAAATGTACCTAAAAAACAATTGCTTATCTTTAAAAATGTGGTGATTTGCATATTTGTCCGTTAATTTTATTATTTTATTTGGCAACCCTGACCAAAACCCACTAGAAGATGTGATAGATTCTAGTGGTACCTAGGGTACATGGTAAAAATGGCAAATGAATAGTGATTGTGGAAAAAAAATTCACACTATCCAAACCAGCCTTTTGAAGTGCTGATATCCAAAAAGAGATAAACAAACCTGAACATCCACACCAAGAACAGAATAGGGGCTATCCATTAATTATATCAACAATTATTAGCAATATTTAACAATTACCCTCACGACCACTGAAATTAAGACTAACCAGCCTTTTGAAGTGCTGATATCCAAAAAGAGATAAACAAACCTGAACATCCACACCAAGAACAGAATAGGGGCTATCCATTAATTATATCAACAATTATTAGCAATATTCCCCCCCCCCCCCAATTTCCCTGTTTTCAAAAGCTGTCAAAATTTCAAGGACCTCCCCATAATTAATTATGTTAATAATTTTTTTAACCCACCCCTCCCCCAAAGACTATAAAAATATAAATAGATCCAAATATTTTTTAGGGCTTAAGATAAAAAATCGGCAGGAACTAGTTGCATGAGGGAAGCCAACATAGAAATCAACGAATGGGAGATTATCACTGAGCACCGTTTGGGCTTACGAACAGCAGAGTATGAAGAAGTAAAAAAGGCATAAGATGCACAAATGAACGCCCTTGCAACAAAAAGAGCATTACCAAAGGCCAAATTGAACTAGGAGTCAAGGATCTCCTGGGAGAAATGCAGCCGAGACTGCCATTCCATGATCTGCCTAGTAAGCCATTTATGAAGTGTCTATCGTCTCCATCGTCTCGCAAAGACGGAAGGATGCCATATATTTATCTATATATTTATTTATTTATATGCATACAATTACATCAAAGAAAAATAGAATTGTTGATGCCAGTTTCTGTTAACTCCTTCCTCTCCCTTGTCACTAATTGTCAAAAGTGTTTACAGCCCCACTCCCCCCTATTTTGATAACATTTTTAATGGACTGCCCCATATTATAAAGTAATGTCTTCATCAGTAGTTTTCCCCAAAAAATGCCTCCATGAATCAGAGAGCTATTGTAAGAAAATTGATGAAGTAGCACATCCAACTTGGAGAAACAAAGGTAAACAGAATTGTTTTTAAGTCTAAATGATATTGTCTTAAACACCAATCGGCGACAGCAATGAGGACTTTTTGTCAATGTTTATGAATAATGAATTAAATTTAGTCTTACTGACTTATTTAAATAAAAATAAGATTTATTGAAGATATTATGATGATGTGATGTCATAATAATGGTACATGATTGCTACATACCTGGTAAAGCAAAAATTGCATCTGTCATCTTTATACTTTTGACATATGACATGGGCATAGGGTTTAGCTTCCATTACAAGAGATCCTCGTTGCCAGCCCATCTCTGTGTTAGTGTGCAACAGCCTAGTGCTAAACTATAGACTATATCCTATGACAGTAAAGTTATGGCCTATTATATACTACTAGGGTTTATCCGGGTGGCTTTTTTTTTTTACACCGGGTCTGGATATTTTGAGAAATACCCAGTGGGTCTAAGTCTAAGTGTTACAAAAAAAAGAGTTAACTTTTATTTTATATACCGGTAATAAAGGGCTTAAACTAGTGCAGGCTTATTACAACCAGGACCTGGCATTTTGAGAAAATACCCGGTAGGTCCAAGTGTTACAAAAAAAGAGTTAACTTCTCGTTTTCTATAATATATGACGGCCTTTAAACAATAGGCCTACAGACAGTCTTACACCCTACCTGTCAGCATTCAAGTTGAATTTCAACAATAGTCCTGCAAACAGTCCTTCATAACATCCATTGTCACCTTGAAAAAAGTTCAACTTTTTTACCTGAGCTCAACTGTCACACGTGACCCTAGCTGCTTGAAAGCTTTTTTTTATTTTCACTGAGTACTATTAATATAAAACATGTTGAGTAGGGGGGAGGGTTGTGAAATGGAAGCAGCCATACCAGAAGCAAAATATATAAGAGATTAATTATTATATTATTAGGATATAGGCCTTCATTATACTCAATATACAATTTACAACTCTATTTATAGTATAGTAATATAAGCACTATAGGCATAGGGCACCTGCATAGCCATAGGCGGGCTTCTTATTGATAATTTATTGTTATGGTTTTATTCAAAGTCAATTAGTTATTGATTGAGTAAGTTCTTTACATCAAGACTACTGGTTATATATATAAGCATATGCCTATCTCTTATATATATTTTTCTACTGGTGTGTCCTGCTTCCTTTTCGAAACCACCCTCCCCCCAACTCCACATGTTTTATATTAATAGTATTGGGTAAAAAAAAGGCTTTCATGCGTGACGTGAGAACTCAAGTAAATAGTTTGCTATTGTCGTTAGACTCCGACTGTTGTTTCCTAAGTAGCATGTTCCCTCTAAGTTTTGCTGGTTGGGAGCAAAATCATACAGTTGTGTGCACAGTTTTACAGCATCAATTTGTTTGCATGCAAAGTGTTACAGTCCATACATATCCGCGGATACTCAAAACTGCTGCGCGGCATCTTTGAGATAGCTGCACAACCGGGCATCCGCGCAGCTTAAAGGGAACATTGCTAAGTAGGTGTTTGTTATAAAATGAATGACAGTATCTTCTCTGTCGATGGGTTTTTGTTCCAGGTCCGGCAACTGCCTGTTCCTATCAGCATCAGTGAGTTATTTCTTGACACAAACAATTTATGAAGAAATGCACTCTCACTGCGACTTAGGGCAGTAGTCTGAGTAGTCAGTAGATTTCATTTGTCACTACAAATTATAGAAAATGATAAGATACTTATTTTTTTGTAACAATGTGATCCACCTGGTAATTACTCAAAATACCTGGTCCCAGAATAAAAAACTGCACCTAGTTAAGCCCTGGTATACTATATGACTATATTATTGTATTGTCAATATAGTTTAATAAATATAGTTATAAATAGTATCTGTATAGTCAACAGATACAGTATTATGATACAGTTACAGGTACTTAAGTCAATAACTTAAGATAATCCTTCCCTAAGGACTGTAACAATATTTTAGAAAAAGAATTTAGGCATATAAAATTAACATTGCTGAGATTGATATTTGTTGTGTCACTGCTGACCTCAGCCTGAACTGTAGGCACTGCTGTAGCCGTGGCCCCTTGAGTCAACTTGCCTTGAGTGAAATGGCACTGGGGTGCTCACACTACTCACAGTAGTGAGTCACAGCTCACACTCGGCGACTTGACTTAAGACTTCAATTCAGATCTCAGATTGTAATTGAGTGAAAGTGAAAGTCAGTGACATGTGACTTACTAACTAATATTAATTAACTACTATTTGTATCACTACTAGTAATATTAAAGTTTTTGAAGTTGAATTTAATGTTATTCTTTTAATCTTTACTGTCAGTACTCTTTACTGAGTCTTTACACTTTACTGTTACTGACTTCTGTCTTTTTTAGCTGTTTACAATTATTTTTGCTTTTCAAAGTTTCAAGTACTTTCTGCTTTCTATTTGCACTTTCATTTTCACCAACTAACTTGAATCAAGCACACCATAATGATCTTATCACAGCAGGTTGCGGCTGCAATGTAAACTTATTTTACAAAATTATTTTTATGTTCCTAAACCATTACTTAACACCATAAATTGTGGTATAATAAGCTATGGAATAAAATTCAAAATTTGCCATAAATTTAAAAATGTTATGATGTTCATGTACTTCCCGAAAAATTAAAAAGCTTATGCCTATTGCTTATGTATTGAAAGTAACTGCGTAATTGCATTTCCTTTTTTTTTTTTTTTTTTAAATTTGGGCCTAGCATAACCCTAAAGACTGTTATATATGTTATAAATAAAACCGTGCTATAAATTCTAAGTTTTTTGTCATAATGCTGATTTTTAACATAGTCTACAATACTATGACCTACTTCGACATGTCAAGTCATGTAACTTACACTTACATTGTCCATTCCAGTTCAGTAGATTCCAACCAGTGCTCCATATGCTTTTCTCAGGCTCCGCGAACGCTCATAGCAGCTTCTAATTCTAACCACCCATTAATACATTAACTTGTAAGAAATATTGTCACATATGATGGTAGGTCAAAGGGACTCCCCCAAGACATAATGTAGGCAATATGGGCTTCTCCAGTAGACATTGATTCTAAAAATGGGCTCTGCGAGTCCAAAACTTTGGGAACCACTGGTCTATTCTATGACTATGTACCATAATGTAGGATGTGCCACCACATATGACTAATACTAACATGTTTCGTGTCGTTGGGTGCAGAGCCGTCGCGTGGGCCCAGCAACCCCTGCGTCTGCATGAGGCCTCGGATACTCTAGTGGCCCAAAGTGATGTGACCTGATGTGGAAAAATTGAACTATCAAACTTTAAATGCAAAGGACACAGCGGCTGTATTTAGGCGCTTTGGCTTTGCGAGTAATTTACGACAGCATTTGCTTTGTGCCGTTGTGAGATTTTTGTTGATCACTACTCTAACATATTATTTTAATAGCATCCTTTCCCGTTGTTTCATTAAAAGGTGCGTGTCTGACCGCGCTGAGACTGAGACTGCTTTTTCTGTTACATGGCCAGCATGGGCGCCCGCAGAAAACTTTCCAGGGGGGGGGGGTGGTGGCAAAAAGTCGATTAAGGGGAGGTGCGGGTGAGAAAATGACGAAAATGGCAAATTTTGAATAATTTTTAATTATTAGTTATTTGGTTTTATTAACCATTTCTCTATTACATTTTTATATTTGTTTTTATAAAAGTAAGTTAGAAAATATAATAAATTACAAATTTCCTGACCCTATCAATCAGAAAAATGTCAAAATTGTCCTATTTTTAGTGTTTTTACCCCTTTGTTATGAGTATTTGGAATCGCCCAATCCCTATGTCTTTGGCATGGTTGGAAAGATGGTGATTTCGGGGTCAAGATAAATATAGCTTATGATCACAAAGAAAACTACAAAAGCAACCGAACCTTTCGATCGCCGGTAATGTCTAGCAAAATTTGGTATTTTCCTGTCCTACTTCGTGTATCACGTGATCAAACCCTGACCTTTGAATAAAATAAGCATTTTGATTGGTTCCTATGTAGGAAATCTGTTTATAAAGGTCACTTCCGGTATAAACAAAACCATATATAATTTCGTGAGGCCTAGCAAGTTCGATATGTAATTTGTCGGTAATAAATTCATTTGAGGAGTTTAAAAACAACTAAATAAGTAAATAACCACACAAAATGAGTTGGCTTTGATTAATTGCCATAATAAACATGATTAATGCTTCTCCTTTTCGGAGAAGACCAAGACAAAGTACACTAAACTACTAAGACTAAGCCGCTAAGCCTACTCCTAGTCCTAGTGCTAGTCGCTTCAAGTTCAAGCATCGCTACGCTACTTTACCAGCAGGAAAAACATAGAAAAATACTATGCCTTGGTAAGTCTTAAAAATCTATTTTTCATTTAGATTCAAATTCAAAGTACGGTATCAATTATTTATAAGGCTAAGCCTATACTGTGCTCACTATAGACCATTTAATGAGGGCTATACTATAATACTTATACATTATATTAGTAATACTAATAAACACTGTTACTTTTTACTGTAGTAAAAATAAAACCTATAAATAATTTATGAATTTAGTTGTTGTGACATTTGTCTTACACTGTCCTATATTTATAGCTATTAAAATGGTAATATGAAATTAAATGTAATAAATTTCTCCTTTTTTTTTATTGCATCGCAAATAACATTGTCATTAGTGTTATTTTATTTTAAAGTAAAGTAATAGTAAGAGCCCTAACAAATTTTGCTTGAAATATGTGTCAACTAGTATGACCTATCAGTCATTAATTTCATTATAGCCTTATATTTTTATTGAGAAGCATTTAATAAAAATATCTAAATACAAGTTTATTGTTTTCAGGAATCATTGAGGAGACGCGCAATGAGGTTGCGGAACACAACAAACCACAACATGCATTATATTTCCTGTTGATAAACTACACTGATCTGTTGTGCCTAGGTCCATTTAGCCCAAAGGACAATATGCACATGAAAAAGAAGGAGTGCCCTAAGTGTATTCCAATGTTACAGATTCCTCGGCGCAACATATGTTCGATGCATCGAAATAAAAGTAACCTCAGGCAGAGGATGCAAGAGAAGACTAACACAGATTACATCACAAAACTCATTATGTGTTATTCAAGGACAAAAAGAATAAGACAGTAGTTGAAAGAAACATATCAATAATTCCCTTATTTTAACATTGTATCTCTCTGCGATGTGATTTTCAACATGACGAGTGTCAAAATTTGATACAGTAACTAATTAGATTTTACAATGGAGTTATTGCTCATGAGTTTTCTGGCTCACACAAAAAACAGTTAATATGCTTTTGTGGAAAAATACATGTTGCAACTCAAGTGATTCAAAAGTTGTGAGATAGAAATCAGAAAATTTACAACTGTCAATATTCATTCCGTCATTAGAACTCATAGAACTTACAATTTTTTCTTTACAAGACCAAGAGTTGCATTTTCAGCATTCATGGACAATGCCAAATAACTCTTTGGAATTGCATATTTACCTAGCTTAATTTTATGATTTTGCACACTTTTATAATGCTGAAATTCTCCAAAATAAGCGAATTATTATTTTTTCGACAAATACAGAATAATAGATAAAAATATATCAATCACAGTGAAAAGTTGAGTGGTCAGGAAAAAAGAAAAATGGACCTGGAAAATGATTAAAAATGTCCACAATAGGCTAATAAAAAGTTTTTATTCCAATTTTGGTATAAGATTCTTATTTTTCATTGATATTTTCATTGTTTTTGTCGTTTTTCTTCGTTATTTCAGTTTTCTTGTTTTCACTATTTTTGGTCACTAATATCCCTATAACTTTTTTATTTATTATCCAAACCTCACCAAATTTTCACAGTATGTTCAGTGACCAATAATAAACATTTGAATAACCTAGAATTAAGATATCTATCTTAGAAAAGAAAATATGTAAAAAAGAATTCACCCACACCCCTATTTTTTGCATAAAAAATGGGGTCACAATTTCTGACCCTGTAATTTTATAACCAGTTATGACATCAAAAAGTCCTGTAATACAAAGTTTTATTATAGGTTAGATAATCTATGTTTAAAATCTGATAGCAATAACTTAATATTTGTAAAAGCCTTAGTGTTTTAAAACACACTAAAAAAAAATAAAAATGGCGGAGGTTTTTATGGGCTACAAAGGCAACCAATGGAATTTTTTTTTTTTTAAAACCTGTTTTGTACCTCCATTACAATACCAAATAAGGTGTAGTTTAAAAAAATCCTTAATGAAGCCAAACAAAAATTTTAGATTTTTCACCCACACCTCCCCTTAACTTTCCAGGGGGGGGGGGGCAAAAAAATGTTTAATAATGTTTTAATATAGTTTTAATTTACTGTTGCGTATTTGTATGATGAACGAACGGACAGGACATCAGCTTAGTTACTTTCTCTTTATTTTCTCTTTACTTTAAAAAAATTTTTGTCTAAAAAATTTTTATCCAATCAATCCAGGGGGGGGGGTGCAAGCTTGCCACTACTTGCGGGCGCCCATGATAGCCAGATATATATTATTATATATAAAAATAAGCAAATTATATCATCATGTTACGTTGGTAAAAAATATGACCTAAAATGGCTTGTCTGTTAAGAACTTTTTAAGAATGTCCGTAAAAATGAGATATTGGGCGTAAACAATGTCCAGATTTAGCACAAATTTCGGGGGGGGGGGGGGGGG